AGTCAGCGGCACGGTGATTTCTGCATAATGGGGAATAAAGTCTCGATAATAATTAGCAAAACCTAGGAAACGTTGCACATCTTTCTTTGAGGCGAGTTCCTTCCAGGACTGGACAGCGTCCACCTTATGCGGGTCCATTTTCACCTCCCGCCCAGAGACTATGTGTCCCAGAAACTCCACCTCCGGGACATGAAAAACACACTTAGAAGCCTTGGCGAACAGACCGTGTTTCCGAAGCCTCTGCAGCACCGTCCTCACATGTTCTCGATGCTGCCGAAGGTCCTTTGAGTAGATCAAGATGTCATCGAGATAACAAACCATGAATTTATCTAATAAATCTCTAAACACATCGTTCATTAAGCGTTGAAACACAGCTGGCGAATTACATAATCCGAAAGGCATGATTAAATATTCGTAAGCCCCGAGATAAGTGTTGAAGGCGGTCTTCCACTCGTAGCCTTCCTTAATCCGGAGCAAATTATAGGCGCCCCTTAAATCCAACTTCGAAAAAACAGATGCGCCCTGAACACGAGACAATAACTCAGGAATCAAAGGCAACGGATAACGGTCCCGGATGGTAAACTTATTCAAAATACGATAATCACAAACTAAACGTAAATCACCCGTCTTCTTGGACACGAAGAACACTGGAGCCGCCGTGGGAGAACTGGACGGACGGATGAACCCTTTGGCCAGATTCTCCTCAATGTAGTCCTTCAAGGCCTGGCGTTCTGGAAGAGACAAAGCGTAAAGCCTGCCCGCAGGCAACTTGGCGTCCTCCATCAACTTTATCTGGCAGTCATAAGGCCTATGGGGTGGAAGATTGTCAGCCTGTACCTTGCTAAACACATCATAAAAGTCTTTATAGCATTCAGGAACACCTTCCACATCCGTTGGACTTACTGCCAACGTTCCACATACAGGTGGTGCTAAGGTAATGGTCTTGGCTTGCCAGTCTATTCTGGGATTAATCTTGGACAGCCAGTCCATGCCTAGGATGATGGTATACCTAGGCAAGTTAATCACATCCCAGGAAAACCGACCCTCTATACCTTGAGCCTCCCACCTCAGGGGCCCAGTCTCCATAGTAACAGACCGGTGGCCCACTAGAGCACCATCTGCTCCTTCCACCCACTCTGGCTGGCGCTTCCTTTGTAACACAATATGATGGTCCATAGCGAAGCTTGTGTCCATATAAGACCCGGTTGCCCCAGAGTCCACTAGGGCCCAAGTGGAGAACCTATTGCCTTGGTTAGAACAGAGTTCAATGGGTAAAAACACATGGTCTTTACACCGGGGCCACTGAACCGCTGGCCCTAATGTGCTTGCCCCAGTGCACATTAGGGCTGGCCTTTTCCCTGCTCCCTGGGAGCCTTGGCCGGACAACTGCGGGCGAAATGGCCCCCCGCTCCGCAATACAAACATAAATTGAGCTGACGCCGTCTCTGCTTCTCCTCCCTGGATAACCGGCGTTGACTCCCCAGCTGCATGGGCTCCTCGGAATCCAGACTGGAACAGACAGCAGCGGCGGTGACTTGAGGGGAGGGGGTAGACTGGAACTGCGGCTGGAAATAGCCCTCCTTCCTCAGCATGTTCTGTCTCCTCTCCAGTCGAAGAGCCGTTTTAGTCAAAGCCTCCCAGGTGTCAGGAGGTTCAAAGCGTGCCAATTCGATTTTTAAAGCTGGAGCAAGCCCTGCTGTGAAGCAAGTCATAAAAGCTTTCTCGCCCCAGTCCAAGTGCTGTTTCAGATGGTTGAAACGATTCAAATAGTCCAACACACATTCTTTCCCTTGCCGGATAGCATGTAACTCACGGCTGGCATTCTCTTCCTGGAGAGGGTCTCCAAACATCTCCTTAAGAGCGTCCAAAAAGCCAGCATAATTGCGCAGTAAGGGGCTATTGCTATTAACCAGATTTACTGCCCACTTACCCGCTCGGCCAGACAGCAAACTGATCACAAAAGCCACTTTGCTTTCATCTGTAGCATAAGCAGTTGCAGGCACTTGCTTAAAATAAACTTCGGTCTGCATCAAAAACAGTGGCAAACCATCTTTATCTCCGATAAAGCGCTCAGGGACGATAGCACGAGCCGTGCGCGGCCCGCCAGCCAGTCCTCCCCCACGGAGTTCATCAAACTGCGCTTTTATTTATTTATTTATTTATTTATTTACTCCATTTGTATACCGCATTTATCAGCCTGGAGCGGCGACTC